ATGCAATGAAATCAAATAACTGACGCTGGAGACGCCATTTCGACGACACCAATTCCTTCCAAACCATCGACTAACTCACCTGGTTCAAACGGCTCCAAATAATCCACACCTGTCGAGCGATTCATTCGACATCTCTAAAAATTTCATCCTCTGCTCAGTGTTTCGAATGAAAACTGCTGCCTTTATGAGAATACTGATAATTAGTGACGAAAAATCTCTTCACATTCATTTACGAAATATACGAAACCATTCTGTTCGCAAATTGATATACCACACATATTCCTATTCTAATTTAATACTAAACAATAAAAGAAAATGATAAATAAGGAAACAACAAATATCAATACGAATTCTTTGATCAAATTTACGTACTTGAGCCGGATCAACTGACAGGAACAAAGTTCTAATGATACACTGACCATCATCTACATCTGACTGATTCGGTGCCGGACACTCCTCACAATGAAAACAATCCACTGTTGGGAAATTGTTCTCACCTAAAACTTTACCTCATTTCTTAATCGAACATCATGCCAACACTATTCATAACCAAAGATGTCAACTGATGAAGTGTTATAAGAATGCACACGAAATCAGTAACTATCCGGTACGACTGAATTTCTCAGCGGATGCCCAGATAAAAACAACTAATTTCATGAATATTACTACCGTGTCTTCTTAGGAAATCTACTGAAAGTGATCAGAAAGAACAACGTTTTCCATGTAATAGCAGCTATTCGAACGAACAGATCTAAGACACTATAACTTAATGAAATGAACTACAATTATGAAATGTCATTTCCACTAAACACAAATGAAATCATTTCCAAAGACTGAACCGATTTATATTTTCAATGCTATTCCATTAATCTCACTCATATGACAAACATGAACTTCTACGCATCACAAACTGAGTGAAGTTCCAAAACAATGACTAACCCGGTCTTTTTATGAAAACGATACGCTTATTGTACGACAAATGTTCACTAATAGGCGGATGATCGTCATTATTCGTGTGATTGATAATGTTATTGTAACCGTTGAAATGACGACTGATAATACTGGTATCAAACTGATATCGAGCTCGCGTGAACAATGGCGCTGATGATGAACAAGACTGCTGTTGTTGCGACTGATGTGGCGCTTGTGAATCACTCATCTGAAAAATCAAAAATCTTAACAGGAAGCAATCTCATAGACAATCAACTTTTTAAACGACAATTTCTTTTNTTTTCTCTCCACAAACATTATTCAAAATTAAAAAACCACTGCAAATGCAAAATTCTCTGTATTGGTTTTCAAATGCAGAGTCAAACTCAACTGCAAAATGTATGCAACAAAAAGGCAAAACTCAATTCATCGCTGAACTGGTTTCACTTCACAATGACAGGCATTTCACTTCAATGTCTGTCATTCTCTTTTTTCACAAAAAAGAAAAGTGAAGAATTCAGTGAAACAAGAAATAAGAAATCATTGAACAAATCACGGCAAGCGAATACAAGTCGAATAGACAAATATGTTTAGAAAAAAAATCCAAACAACTTAAAACCATCAAAAAATAACGAAACTCCAAATGCTAACCATTGGAAAACACGAGTAGTCGGCAATTCGACAACGTGAAAGTTTTCGTTTTTTGCGTTGAAACACACAAAACGCAGACGAACTGCTGTTGCTGTTACTGCTGCTTGGTGAGGATAAACTTGACAAGGTGTTACTATTGTTATTATTGGCCGATGTTGTGATATCACTTAAATCTGTGGCTATGTCAGTCGACGATGTCCACGCACTCGTTAGATTACGCCTTTTCAGGCAACGTTCCACACACTCCTCTTCTTCAGTACTGGTCACTGATGAGGTCGATGAATCGCGATGATAGCGCAAAAAATCTGACATTAACAAAAAATTCTTCTGTTTCTTTTAGTCAAAGCAGTGAAACTTTCAACATAATTCATCATATTCACCTACTTCACAGCTATATTCACAAATATTGCTCATCTATTCAATGAACACATTAATCAAACATTCAATAAGCGAACCGAACAGAATTTCTCATGAGACGTAGAAAATTTGCCAGACCCAAACATAAAAAATGAACAACACTCTACAAAAAATACAACAACAACATATGAAACGATTCACTCAATCAGAGAACACATTCGCTCATCAATTAACTTATCCACAAATGGCGTTAACAGTAAACTATCATGAGTCATGTGACTCTGATTAAACTGTGAAATAATTCGCCGCGTCACTCGATGATAAACTAGAACTCGACGAAGAAAGAATTAGACGACGATGCGACGATGTAAGAGGCAGGCGAGGTGGTGCCCAGTTATGCCTACTGGGAATGTAAATGATGAATTTGACTAAAATAAGTGACGGAAAGTGTCAATGCTAGAACGTCATACGAATACTGTTATTACTATTACCATTACTATTACTATCACTACTATGATTGTTGTTACCATCACTATTTATATTAAAGAAAGAGCATGAACATCAGCATGAGCATGATCCTAACAACGTTTGATACTTCTTTGAATCGTAAATACTAAAGAGCCAGGACACTTTTCTCAATTATTTTATTTTCGTTTACGTTACCTACATATATGGTGACGAATGACAACCAATG